GAACATGAATAGCCGTATTTATTATTTATAAAGAAGTTATGGTACATTGAATGCAAGGGTGGGTTCAAGGAAGGGGTCCAGGGGGTCCGCTCCCCGGGGCCCCCCCCCCCCCCCCCCCCACCCCCATTACAACTCGTTGTTTTCCCTTTTTTAACATAAGATACATTACAGAGAATCTTTACACTATGATATCGAAAACCTTTTGTATTGAAAGTCATGAATCTTATTTAGGTTTGTATTTGCTACGACTTGTATAGTGTATGTATGACGTGAAAAATGACGTCACCTATTGAGTGTAGGTTTTGGATCCCCTCCACTCAAAAAATTCCTGGATCCGTCCTTGCAACGCCGAATTAAAATGGAGGATTAATCAGTTTGACTTTTTATCTGACTTATTCAAGAGAATTGATATAATTAGGTTTGAGAGAACGTTATCAATCAAATATCCTAGTATGGATTGACAATTCTCTCTCTTTATACCAAAAAAGAAAAGAAAAAAAAATCCGACCTGCGACAAAATGGACGGAACGTGTGGAAAGGTCTCGCTATAAATTGAAATATCAACAAATGGTTAGAAAAAAAATACACTGAAGCAGATAAAGAAGATATATATCTACATAATTAATACAGAAAATTGATTCTAGGTGATAAAGCAATGGAAGCAGAAGGCTTGATGACGACAAAATTTATGTTGACCTATGATAAGACATTGGATACAGTCTGTTTGTACAGGATAAAATTTGATAGATTTTGCATTTACCAGTTACGATATATAGAGAAGACAAGAGACTTTCTAAGTACTGGAATTCGATCAATTAAATCCAATATACCAACATTACTGAATACTGATGCTATTCACTTAAACATTGTTGTGAGACTGTGAAGCTTGTCTTAGCTTGTCTTGTGACCTAATACTTCATGGAAGTCATGGCTAAATAAAGCTATCACATTCCCTGTTGTCGTGAGAGCTAGCTGTAGCTCGATTATAATACAACAGGCAAGAAACTGATGGAGTAAAATAAAATGGAAAACCAAGCCGGCCAGACTTGCAACCAAACAGGACACAAGATATCAATACTTGTGTTGGATAGAGAGACAAAATCCGAACGAATGACATTCAGAAACAACTGAAAGCGGAAAAAATGCTTGCTTATCAAGTTACCTCTTGGTCGCTTCTACGAGACAGTCTTTACAGAATCTGTGGCCACAACACCTGGTCTGTACGGGTTGACGGAGTGCAAGATGGCATATCTTACAGATACAATCATCAGCTAGCTTGTCCACGAAGTCAAAGTCATATCCCTGAGGTGTAGTCATGTTTAAGCAGCAGTCTTCAGGAACTGAACAACTCCTAGATTCTTATCCGGGACCCTAGGTTTCCAAATAAGGATATCACAAAATTGTCACAGATCTCAGCGGTTTAGAAACTGGTCCGCATTATTTATCCCCTTGGGGAGGGGGAAAAGATGTTTGCGAAGGGATCGACCACCACATTCTTTATCAAAATCAAATTACCCTGGTGATTAACTAGTGGAGAATCTCTGGATACTCAGATTTTAAATCGAACTACTTTTACGTCGAAACACAGCATGAGCTACCTGTAGTGGTTTTGCTAACATAGTGAGCGAGTGAGCAAGTGAGTGAGTAAATTTAAGTGAGTGACACAATTGCATATTCAGGCTCCTCACAGCAACTCGTTTTCAAAAAAGGATACGTTGGACGTTGTGGGCTATTTATTCTCGTCTCGGTCCAGCGTTTGCTGTTTTCGATGCCAAAACAAAATTGTTGCAAGCTGCACGAGAACTGTAACAGGCGCAGTTTTCGTTTCTGTTGCAGCCGTATGAATAAGAAGTTGTATCGCGCAAAGGAAAAAAAAGAGCAAGTTGAAAGTTTTGTGAGAAAAGCACTGGATGTAATAGTATGCAGAGAACTTTGACACATGAGAAAAAAGCGGCCCCTTCTATTTTCTGTATTTTGGACTTGGAAGAAGTACCAAGACATTGTGATTTCTATTTTGTGATTGGTTACGACGGATTTGTAGTGTCACGTGACGTGTGTGACTCGATTGGGTTTTCTCAGCGCGCTTTTCCAACTTCAAATCGCAAACTCGCAGGTGCAAACTACAAACCTCTTTAGCTTGGGCGTAATGTTTTCCCATTTCAGATTACATGTCATTCTCTTGAAAATAAGATTTTTTATTTGATTTGTATTCATTTTCATGTGTCTCATACTAGCTGTGTGTTCTTCCGTGAAAAATATGGAGACCTTCATGCCTGACACGATTTCCATGTTGTGGTTATTCACGAGTGGTCTAAAGGTCGATGACTAGATAATGAATGTTTTAGTGACCAGACGTTATTTATTGTCTGGGAGAGGGAGGGGAGGGGCTGCAGAGAATTTTGGTTTCAGTTGTTTCTACAGAGAAGAGGGAAACACTCAGTTTATGATACTTTTTACTTGTTTTCTCTGACTTTTTCGCGTTTTACGATTAGACGTTTAGATCCCGGATCTGAACGAAACGCCAAATTGTAAAACATGTAAAAGTCAGAGCAAACAGGCAAAAAGAAAAAATCCATAAACATGACTCCTGACTGCATAAATGTCAAGATATTTAGGTCCGTTCTTGTTATACAATAAGAGGTGTATCGCACGAGACGTTGCTGACAGCTTTGTTTCTGAAAATCCAGCTTTTACGATGAGTACTTTATTACTTTCAATACGATCACTAATGCCCGAGACTTTCAGCAACCTGTAACTTACCACTGATGATATCTACATGTTAATCTCTGCAATTGGGTACCGAGCAAACGCGAGGTAACTTGACATTATAGTTATCCTCTTTGATAGTAATAATATTGGATGATGAAGCTATGGAAACTGAAGGCTTGATGATGACGACAAAATAATGTTGACCTGTGATAAGACATTGGATACAGTCTGTTTGTACAGGATAGAATTTGATTGATTTTGCGTTTACCTGTGTTAGGATCTATAGAGAGAAAACGATAAGCGTTCTAATTCTGGGAATTCGATCAATTAAATGCAAAATATCAAAATTACTAAATACTGGTTCTATTCACTGAAACATTGTTGTGAGAATATAAAGCTTGTCATGTGACCTAATACTTTTTATTTTTATTATAATATAATTATTATTATGGTTGAAAGACAAAGAGATTAGGAGTTTTGCTCGTGCTAACAACTCTTCAACATAGTTAAAAGCACCAGCCGTTTAGAAGCAACAAAAGTTCGAGTTATTTTCCTGCTTCGAAGATCCTAGTAGTCTTCTAACAATCCGTAAGCCTTGAGCAATCAATGAAGTAGAGAGCCTGCGAAACAAAAGTACGAAGGAGAAAATAAAAAGAGAATTAAAATTGCTAAGAGTTGTATTTGACAGCTCGTCGACTCAAATGCCCCATGTGACTAACTCGTGGATGCTGAGATTTTATGTTGACTGAAGAAAAAACTATCGAAGTCAATACATTTTTGAAACAGTAGTCGCTTAGGTTTTCATTTCACATATTATTTTGACATTACTTATAATAATAATACTATCTTTTTCGAAAATACCTTGCTATTAAGTCTTCAAAAATGAGATGCGCGAGATAAATGCGCAGTAGTAAAGGTCTGGAACTACTTAGAAAGCAAAGGTTATATTATATAATTCAACTCAAAAATGCTCATGTTCCTTTGAAACATTTATTTTATATCTGTTGTGTTACGGAACAACAATCAAACAAATATCATTCCTCTTTAAAATATTTTTATTATCAATCAATTAATTATTAACCTGGGAACACGCATGTCTTAAAGACGATGCACAAGCCCGCGTTGATCAAAAAGGCA